TTCAAGGATGATGTTGAATAGAAGTGGTGAAAGAGGACATCCTTGTCTTGTTCCAGTTTTTAGCAGGAATAATTTAAATTTTTCTCCATTTAGAATGATGCTGGCCTTGGGTTTAGCATATATAGCTTTTAGAATATTGAGGTATGTTCCTACTATCCCTAGTTTTTCTAATGTTTTGAACATGAAGGGATGCTATATTTTGTCAAATACTTTTCTGCATCTATTGAGATGATCATATGATTCTTGTTTTGAAGTCTATTAATATAAGGAATTATGTTTATTGATTTCTGTATGTTGAACCAACCCTGTATCCCTGGGATGAATTCCACTTGATCGTGCTGCACTATCTTTTTAATATGTTTTTGTATGTGAGTTGTCAGAATTTTATTGAGATTTTTTTTTTTTTTTTTGCGTCTGTGTTCATCAGGGATACTTGTCTTTTCTTTCCTTGATGTGTCTTTGTGTGGTTTTGGTATCAGGGTTATATTAGCCTCATAGAATGAGTTTGGAAGTTTCCCTCCTTTTGTATTTCATGGAGTACTTTGAGGAGTATTGGTGTTAATTCTTCTTTGAAAGTCTTGTAGAACTTGGCTGAGAATCCATCTGGTTCTGGGCTTTTCTTGGTTGGTAGGCTTTTGATGGTGTTTTCTATTTCATTACTTGAAATTGATTTATTTAAATCATGAATGACCTCCTCATTCAGTTTGGGTAGATCATATGTCTCTAGAAATTTTTTGATGTCTTTGATATTTTCTATTTTTATTAGAGTATAACTTTTCAAAATAGTTTCTAATTTTCTTCTGTATTTCAGATGTGTCCATTGTGATATTTCCTTCTTCATTTTGTATTTTAGTAATTTGAGTTTTCTTTTTCTCTTTGTTAGCATGGCCAAGGGGTTATCTATTTTTATTTTTTCAAAGAACCATCTTTTTGTTTTGTCTGTTTCAGTTGTTTCTTTTGTTTTAATTTCATTAATTTCAGCTCTTATTTTAATTATTTCCTGTCTTCTACTGCTTTTGGTGTTGATTTGTTCTTCTTTTTCTAGGGCTTTGAGATGTAGTGTTAGGTCATTTATTTGTTGACTTTTTATTCTTTTAATGAATGCTCAGAGTGCAATAAACTCTCATTAGTATTGCCTTTGTAGTGTCCCAGAGATTTTGAAATGTTGTATCAGTGTTCTCCTTTACCTCTAAGAATTTTTTATTTCATCCTTGATTTCTTCTACTATTCATTCATCATTGAATTGTGTATTATTTAGTCTCCATTTGTTACAGTAGCTTCGATTTTTTTTTAAATTTTATCATTGATTTCTAATCCATTCCATTTGGTCTGATAGAATGCAGGGTATTATCATCTTTGTTTTTTTGTATTTACTAAGAGTTGCTTTGTGGCATAAGATATGGTCTATTTTAGAGAAGGAGCCATGTGCTGCTGAGAAAAAAGTATATTTGCTCATTGATGGGTGAAATATTCTATGTATGTCAAGTCTAAATTATTAATTGTATTATTTAGTTGTATAGTTTCCTTATATAGTTTTTGTTTGGAAGATCTGTCCAGTAGTGAGAGAGGTGTGTTAAAGTGACCCAGTATTATTTTATTGTGGTCTATTTGACTCTTGAAATTGAGAAGGGTTTGTGTGATGTACATGGATGTTCCATTGTTTGGGGCATAAATATTTATAATTGTTATGTCCTGCTTATATATACTTCCCTTAAGGAGTATGAAATGCCCTTCTTTGTCTCTTTTGATTAACTTTGGTTTGAAATCTACTTTATCTGAAATGAGAATGGAAACCCCTGCTTGTTTACATAATCCATACGAGCGATAAGTTTTTTCCCATCCTTTCACCTTCAGCCTGTGGATGTCTTTGCCCAGGAGGTGAGTCTCTTAAAGACAGCATATTGTTGGGTCTTGCTTTTTAATCAATCTGCCAGACTATGTCTTTTGATAAGTTTAGGCTGTTAACATTCAAGGTTATTTTTGAGATATGATTTATATTCCCTGTCATTTTGGTTTATTGCTGGCTTTTGATTTGTCTTAGTTTCTCATTTGGTTGAATGTCCCTTTAGTGTATATCCTCCCTTTGCTGGCTTTCACTTTTTTTTTTTTTTTTTAACTTCATCCTAATGGAATATTTTGCTGAGAATGCTCAGTAGTGTAGGCTTTCTAGTTGTGAATTCTTTTAATTTTTTTTTATCATGGAAGGTTTTAATTTCATCTTCAAATCTGAAACTTAATTTTTCTGGATATTAAATTCTCTTGGTTGGCATCCGTTTTCTTTCAGAGCTTGAAATATATTATTCTAGGACTTCCTAGCTTTGAGGGTCTAGACTGAGAAATCAGTTGAGATCCGAATTTGTTTCCCCTATACGTAATTTTATGTTTTTTTCCTCAAAAAATAAAATAAAATTACGTACGGGGAAACAAATGTTTTTTTTTTTTTTTCTCACAGCCTTTAAGATTTCATCTTTATTCTCTGTGTTAGTCATTCTCATTATAATGTGTTTTGGTGTGGGTCTGCTATAATTTTGTACATTTGCGGTCCTATAAGCCTCTTGTATTTGATTTTCCATCCCATTCTTTAGGTTTGGGAAATTTTCTGCTATTATATCATTGAAAAGATTGTGCATTCTTTTGGTTTGTATCTCTGCTCCTTCCTCTATTTCAGTAACTCTTAAATTTTGTCTTTTCTTGTTATCCCATAATTCTTGGATATTCTGTTCATGTTTTTTTTTAGCATCTTCTCCTCATGTTCAATTCTACCTTCAAGGTTATATATGTTGTCTTCATTGTCTGAAGTTCTGTCTTCCAAGTGGTCTAAACTGTTGGTGATGCTTTCTATTGAATTTATAATTTGGTTTACTGATTTCTTTATTTCCAGGATTTCTGCTTGTTGATTTTTTCCCACTATCTCTAACTCTTTATTGAAATAATAGTCTTTCACTTCCTGTATTTTTTCTTTGATTTCACTCCTTATACTATCCTTTACTTCACATATCAGTTTAACTATATACAATCTGAACTCCTTGGGACATTTCTTCTACTGTGTTATCAGTGGCTTCTGTTGTTGAAGCATCTTGGTTTGTTTGGGGTGCTTTATTCCCTTGTTTTTTCATGTGTTAGTGTTTTCCCATGTAAAAGTATGGATCTAAGGCAGGATAAATTCTACCCTGTAGACCTATAGTGTCCCTGAAGGTTTCCAGTGCTTCACCTTTACTGGTAAGACTAATATCAACAGCACCCAATGAACACCTAATAGCTCCCTCTAAGGCTTTCTCATATTAAATCAAAATGATGAGTTCAATAGCTGTCTACAGTACAAAAAGAATATTTGTTAAAAAGATTTACAATTTCAGAGGTAGTGTAGTATGCAATATTCACAAGGAAGGAAGAGAGAAGCTAGAAGTAAAAATTCACAGGAAGAGTTGGAGAGGAGCCAACGAGAGATTGGCTGTTGGTTGGAGAGAAGTTGGAAAGAAAATCCAAGAAAATAGACAAAGAGGAGAAAAAAATCAGACATAAGAATACAACAAAAATGCAAAACACCAATCATATATCATTGACTTCCACACTCTGATGCATAAAACACATCCTGTCCCAAATATGCTAGAGAGATTAGTGAATCAAAAAATAAAATAAAGTAACTTGCTGGAAAGTCAAACTGTCTCTGTCAGTGTTCAACAGTTTCTCAGCTCTGTCTCTGATATCTCTTGGGATSACCAAACCCAGATCAGCCCTCGAAAACCCAGTCTCTATCCCACCGATCTGGGCTTCAGATACCTCAGGATTGGCCACTGTGCAGTCTGAAGATCTCAGTGCAGCTCCTACTTGCAGAGAGACCACCAGGGATACACTCATGCAAAGGAGCAACCCTGAGATGCAGCAGCAAGACAATGGCCACCAGCACTCAGCAGAAAGACCCCAGACTCCTCCAAACCTGCAGGCACCCCCACACTGGGATCCCTGCAGGTCCCAGCTGGAGTCCCCAGACAGAGGCTCTTATTGTGATAAATTTGCTGGCACCCAGGCCCCGGGCCCTGGCTGGTGTCCCAAAAAGGGTACAGGCATGTCCCCCCAAACCTGGCGACTCCCCTGAAGCAGTCCTGTAGGCAGCGGTGGTGGCGGTGGTTGTTGGCAGTTGGCAGTGAGTTAGCAGTAGCAGTAGCTACAACTGCAGCTTGTGGAGGCAGTATCTCCAGGCGATCTCCAAGGGTCAGCATCCATATCGACTTCAGTTGCATCCAGGGCAGTGGTTTCTTCTGTAGCAGCAGCACCCAAAATAACACCTCTAGGGGATCTCAGGCTGGCAGCAGCAATGGCAGCAGCAGTGCAGGCTGCTGATGGACAGGAGACCTCCAGTTCAGGGGCATGACCACAGAGGAAGCGACGGAATTCTTATTTGAGGTAAAGGAGGCCATGCCTAGAGAAGAGACCTCCAGGAACAGCAGTGGCTTCTGCAGCAGCCCACAAAGGTGACTTCAGGCTGACTGCAGCGGAATCAGAGGCAGCAATGTCGGTAGTAGTGCAGGCAGCCAGTAACTGAGTTTTTAAAAATATATTTTCAACACTATCACATTAACAAAATACATAATATAGCATTATGGCAGCACTGCTGTATGACAGTCATTTAAAAACATTCCTGCATTTAGCACAAATTGGTCACTTGTTTTTTTCTTAACTTTGTTCCCCCTTCACTAAATTTCTTCAGAAGATAAGTGGTTTCCAATGCTTAGAATCTAAAAATGTTTTTTAACATGTTAGGATGAATCAAATTTTAAAAATTAAACTGTAAAATAAAAATTGGATGAAGTTAAATAGTTCAGAGTTTGTCATACAGTGATGTAACTGTGATCCTTTTCATGAAGACCTGTAGTGGAAATGTTAGATATCACCCATGTGTTTTTAACACCAAAGGTGATTTTTTTTTTTTTAAGGTAAGGAAAATAGTTTGATAACATTTTTGTGTCTGGTGAAGGACTTTCTCTATTTATAATTTACAGCTTACCAGCCATGCAACAGAATGGAGTCCCAACCACCTGGGAGAGGATGCAGTGGTATCTTTCGCTGACGTTGGATGGGTAGCCACAGAAGAAGGAGAGTGTTCAACAAGACTAAGGTTAGTTTGGAAGGCTGTCAGAGCTGAGATACAATGTCTGTTATTTAAAATAATATCCTTTAAAGATGATACATTTGAATACTGTCTTTTAGTCGCCCCATTTGATCTCTCTAGTAACTAACTCTACTCTTTTTCTTGAGCAGTCTTCATTTTTGTTCAGTTTTAATACTCATCTAGTATAAATTCTCAGAGACATATAATTGTATCCTAAATTCTTGTGAATCCCTGCATTTTAGAAGTTTTATATTCTTGTATGAGAGACCAGAAAGAACTATCATAAATTTGTTTATATAAGTACAGTAATTATAATGGTCTTATTGAGGCAGAGGGATCAGTATGGGCCATAGTAGAGAATTTGTGTACTAAGAGAATGTTTCCTAAAAATTGTGAGTCAAGAAGAGTTGTGATTCAAAGGAAACAGTATATAAGAGTTAGAGAGGTGTGTCTATTTATTTGAAAGAGCCTGAATTAAATATTGACTATTTTTGGTGATGGGGATTTAACCCAGGGGCACTTTACCACTGAGCTACATCCTCAGCCCTTTTTATTTTTTAAATAGGATCTTGCTTAGCTGCTTAGGGTCTCACTGAATTGCTGAGGCTGGCCTCTAACTTGTGATCCTCCTGCTTTCAGCCTCTCAAGTCACTGGGATTATACCCATGCACCATTCCATCTGGCCATATGCTCTTCACTTTTATTAGGCAGGCATCAGAAATAAGTCCTTGCATTCAAGGAATATTTGGTATGTTAGAGGAGATTAAGAAAAGAGTTCAATAATACTGATACTATAAAATGTACTAAGCAGTTACGGAAGGCAGCTGGACTGTAGGATGAGAGGTTTGGCAAGGCTTCTCAGAAGGGGATGCTAGAGTTGACTAATGAGGAATTAGCAGGAGCCTTCCCAGTTGATTGATTTTATAAGTAACATTGACATTCTTTGGAAGAATCATTATGATTAATAATCTTGCCTAAGATAATTAATTTGTTCCGTATGATAGTATCTTAAGGAGAATGTGTAGTCTTTGGTTATATACACAATATAACATTTTTGTACTGAAAATAATAAAAAATTAAAGATTATAATCTGTGAGTCCTCAAGTAGACATATTGTCATCAAGTATTTGATTGCTTTTGGAGTAGAAGAACATTAAGAAATACTGAAATATTTCAAGTTTACTTCAGTTTGCTCATTCTGTAATAATAATTTATAATTATGTCTAATTCTTCAAACCCAATATTAAATAATTTTTTTTCTTGCAATGCTGGGTATGAGCCCAAGGCCTTGTGTGCTAGGCATGTGTTCTACCACTGAGCTACACCCCCAACCAAAATGAAATTTTTTAAGATTCATAATGCTTAAAAGTATTGCAAGTAACTCTTCCTTACACGAGGATCCTTGTAATCTAATGAGGAAGATGAGCATATAGTTGGCCCTTGCCCTTCAGTATTCTAGGGCTATCCCCCTGCATTTCCAAAATCTATGGGTGTGTAATCCTTTGTGTAACATGGCATAGTATTTGCATATAACCTGTGCACATCCTCCTGATTACTTTAAATCTACATTACTTATTACACCTAATACAATGTAAATGCTATTAAATAGTTTAGGGAATTAATGACAAGAAAACAGTCTATACACATTTAGTACAGACATAATTAAAAGTGTACATATTTTTCATTTGTGTTTGCTGAATCCATAAATGTGGGACCTATGGATACAGAGGGCTAACTTTATTTATAAAAATCTATAGTGTAAAGATAGTGAATAATGTGAGACTGCAGACTTTACTAAAGCTCTCCAGTTTAATTTTTCAAATTTGAATAAKAGCTGCAAATGAAATGTGCTGTTTTTAAGAGAGTATCAGAAAAGACCCCAGCCTGATCCCAACTTCATAGAAGATGGCAAGGATTTAAAAGACTCTAAAGGAAGTGACCTGGGAAGCAGGCAGGCTGGCTCACTTTAGCTCTTAGGTTGAGAATAGACCAGGGCACTCAATGGATCAGAGTAAGACAATTTCCTACTCATAGCACATCAAGCAGCAGGTGTTACTTGTTTCCTTTCTAATCCTAATTATTTGATCTGAGACATTAACTGATAATTTATAGGCATAAGTGGAAGGAAAAAACCTGCATTTAGTGGCAAAATGTTATTCCCAATAAATACACTTTTCAGAAGATTTAACTTTTAAAATTTAAAAAAAAAAACCACACAGAAGCTTGTGTTGAACAGAGCCTAGAGCAGCTAAATGTGGAAATTACCACTCATCTTCTGGTCTATAGCCTCTCAACACTCTGTCTCTACCCCTCTACTGTCCATCCTCTTGTGGATTACCTCCTGCTGTCAACTTGGCTAGTTGTCTTAATGCAGTCACTTGCCCACTTGAAAAGATTAGTCATTTTCTACCCAAGGAGAAGGAACTAAATTATTAATCAGCTTTTTTTTCTCCCTGGATTCTAACACAATAATATATTTTTATACATTTCTTGATTGCTTTCTAACCTAAAAGATGAWGAACGATCATTAAAAAACATTTTTGGGAATACCACCTATTTAGGACACTGAGAAAATTTAAGACTATCTCATATTTTGAGTTTCCATCATTGTGAGATAAGGGAAAGGACCTAGAGATATATTAGGTTTAACCTAGACTTTTCTTTGCAATGGTCAATGGAGTTAAAAAGACCTTTGTATTTATGTAAATTGTGCTCAAAAAGTGGCTTCTTTAAATACTAACATTGGAAAAACTAAGAGAATTCCAGTGCAGTGTAACTCTAAATAGAAGCCTGTGCTCTTCTACCTTTGAGCATTTTGGGAGCCAAAATCAATTAAGCAAAAAAGATGGAAATCTCATCAGCAGAAGTTGGTATGGTGAAAATTGTTTAAAGAAACAAAAGAAACATCACCCTGGCTGATTGTTTACTGCTGTGGAGACACCCACACTTGATGTCCCTTTTTGTTTTTTTTAAATTTGTTTTTTGTTTCTTAAAATTTCAATAGACGGGAAAAACAAAACCATTAAATTTACTTGTAGTGATCATGGGGAGATGTAGAAACTTAACCCTTTTTTAAATATTGTAGTTTCTGCTCAGTATTTATTATCTTTTATAATTTATTTCTTCTAGAAGATAATTTAAAGAAAGTTAGCTCAAATATAACTTGCAGTTGATATCTTAATCCAGTATATCATATTATCTTGTTCTAATTCTGGATATTGAGAAATAAATCTTTGCAGAATTTGAAGTTTGGCTTACTTGAATGATACTATTTAAAACGTGAGGATTTAATACTTTTGAATTTCTTTTTTTTTTTTCAAATAAATGTTAGTTTATTTATTCTTCTTTTTTCCCCCTTTTTTTTTATTGGTTGTTCACAACATTACACAGCTCTTGACTTATCATATTTCATACATTAGATTGAAGTGGGTTATGAACTCCCAATTTTACCCCAAATGCAGATTGCAGAATCACATCAGTTACACATCCACAATTTTACATAATGCCCAATTAGTAATTGTTGTATTCTGCT